GGACAGGGCTCACGCCCCTCTGCCTTGCGGAAGAAGGCCTCCGACTTGCCGTACAGGGGCAGGTTACAGTAGTCACCTGGCCGGAGAAGCAGAGGCGGTGAGAGGCGGGGCTCAGCCAACCCCCCGCCCCTCAATACCCCCTGCTGGCTGGGAGTCTCCCCCGGGATGGGCAGTGAAGGGTTGAGGAAAGGTCAGTCACTTGACCTCTCTGAGCCTTAGTGTCCTTTCTGTGAAATGGGGCTAATCGCATTCCCTAAGGACATCTGAGCGGTGAGGAAGGTAACGGGCCCTCAATACAGTGGCTGGCACAGCGGCCGCTGGGGAGCTGGTGCTTATGGGTCAGTGGCCATCGGAGCCGTGCGGCCGCCGCAGCGGGCTCCCTGCTGAGGAGCAGGCTCCCGAGGGCTCTGGCTGTGCACGCGTTTCCTCCCGGGAGGAGAAAAGGACTGTCCCTCCTGCCACCTCTGCGCCGTGAACCTGATTCACCCCTCAGAGGACCCACAGAGCGGGCTCACTCTCCCCCGCACAGCCTCTCAGGCGGAATGTCCTTCGTTTCTGAAACTGTCTCCACGTCCTGCTGGCCTATCAGGCACCTTCGCACATGACCCCACTTGGCCCCGCAGCCCCCTGGGTAGGCTGCCTGCATTTTGCAAGTGAGGCATGGAGGTTCAGAAGGACGAAGTAATTTGCCCAAATTCACCCAGCGAGGAGGGGTGGGCGCACCCAGGGCTCTGGTCTCCAGAGTCCTCGACCTTTGTTGCCCCAGCCCTTCTCTAGGTGACCCCAGGTTAGCCTGGCCACTGAGCAAAGCCAGTGTCGAATAGACCAGACTCACGGGGTGACGGCCTGGGCTGTGTCTGTGGTGCCCCGATATCTGCTGATGGACTCCCTCGCCTGCCCCCGCTCATCCTAGACCTGCCCCACCAACCCCAAGGGGCGTATGCCCTGGCCAGGCCCCTGCCGTGGGATGGTTCTCAGTCAGGCTAGGGCACTGCCCACCAGGAGGCTTGGCCCATGGGCTGAGTCACCAGGATCGCGCTGTTGGGTCGGGATTAAGTTCACAGCATTGAGACCAGCGGCCACTGGGCAGTTGATCCCAGGGGAGCCCCTTCCATCCTGACATAGCTCAGACTGGTCACTCTTAGAGAGAACGTACTGTGAGCCATGCATGTGCCTCATTTCTAATGCCCGCGACAACACGGGAAAGCATACGTGATCATTTGCATTTTACAACCGTGAGGCTGGAGAGGTGAGGTGTTGCCCAAGGCCCCAGAGATCTGAAAAGCTTGCACAGGACATGGGCCCCGGTCTGCCTGCTCCCAAGTCCTGCTCTTGGCACAACCCACTCTGCCTGGGAACCCCAGCGGCTGGCAGGCCCCAGGTGCCGTCAGGGCCAGGCCTAGCAGGGCTCATGGGGTCTGGTTCAGGGGCCGCAGCGGGGGAGGTGGCCCGGGCACTCACTCTTGTTGGCCCGGTGAGGGATGGGCACCGCCACGTTCTTGCCCCGGTCCGCATCCTGGGGCTTGGGCGGGGAGGCGGTGAAGCGGCAGATGCCGGGCTCGGAGGGCGTGCTCATGGACGTCATGCTGTCGGCATTCTCGTTGGTGCCCGTGGTCATCTGGTCCGAGGAGCTGTCCGAGATGAAGCACTCGGTGATCTCGAACTTGGCGTGCTGCAGCTGCTCCTCCAGCTTGGCGTGCTCGTAGGCCCGGGCCAGCTCCTCGTACGTGGAAGAGGCGCTCTCCGTGGACACCATGCTGTTCCGCCCTTTGTCTGGGGAGGCAGGAGGCGGAGGAAATACGTGGGTTCCGGGGAGGAGGGAGTCAACGAGACCAGATTGAGCAGCTCCCCTGGCCCCTCCCCAGCCACCTGAGAGCCTGGCCACAGGTGTGGGCGAACCAGGCTGCGACCCTGCCCTCCCACTGCGAAGGGAGCAGAATTGGGGTCTGGGTTGCGGATTGGGGGGCAAACACTCTGGGACTAAGCAACTCCTCGGCCGCTCAGCCCTTCCTCCAGCAGACACCACGGACTGTTTTTTCTATGTTGGGGGAGAGCAAACTGAAACCCCGACCAGGCAGGGCTCAGAGAGGTCTGGTGTGTGTGTCACAGCCACACAGTGCGCCAGCAGCCAGCGGGGAACTAACCTGACAGTGTCTTGGGCCCCATGGGCCGCGGGTAGGAGCTGGGAAAATGTCAGGGGGAGCTGGGTGATGGAACTGGGCGAGCGGGAGCAGGAACAGGCAGGGCCCTGGGCTCACCTGTGTCCTGCGAGAGACTTGCGCTGTAGCTGTCACTCTCAGTGACAGTGACGCCGTGCTGGGAGCCCACGGTGCGCCAGTCGGAGGTGAGCGTGCGGGCAGGTGTGGAGGCCTGGCACTTGGTCAGAGTCCACTGGCTTGAGTACCGGTTCCGGGTACTGTGGGCTGACTTCACATTCTTCCTGGACACAGGGTCTACACAGAGGAAGTGAGAGCCAGCTGCCTCCAATCCTGCCAGCACTGCTACCCTCACAGTGCAGGGAGCACTGGGGTTCGGGCAGAAGGCAGTGAGGAGCCAGGGAGGAGGCAGACGCAGCCACAGGACTCCCTTGGGAGCGCTGAGTAGGCTGCCTTTCCTGACCACACAGCTGGCCTCGGGCAGAGGAGCAAGAGCGGCCAGGCATGGGGCAGTGGGCAGCATCCTGGACTTCTCTACCCTTCAGCCTGGGAAGAAGGCCACCTCTCCTCCTGACTGTGCACCCATTCCCTACAGTCCTGGATGTATTCTACACGCATGTCCGGAGCCACAGGGCTAGAGGCAAAAGGCCCTCGAGGCACGAACACCCACCCTCTCAACACCTCTAGGTGAGGGCACCCAGGCTCAGAGGTCTAAGATTAGGTAAGTTCCCAAAGTCACAGGCAGGAAGTCTGCAGGCCAGGCACCCAGGCTCTAACGGTTAGAGTCTAATAACCCCACTGCACTTCCTGCTCTCCCACACGGTCCCACCTTCTTTTTATTTTTGAAAACATTACTCCTGCCCCATGCTGTGCCCAGGACACCCTGTGCGGGAGGGGCTGCCTCCCCGGGGGCATGCGTACTGGTGCCTGGCCGGATATCGGACATGTCGATGAGGGGGCCGGTGCTCTGGATGAGGGCCGGGTGGTGCAAGGAGACACCGGTACAGAAGCTCTGCGGGTTGACAGCTTGGCTGAACTCAGCGTCTGCCACAGGGATGGTGGCCTTGTCATCTCCTGGGGGAAGAAAAACAATCAGCAGGACTCCTTCCCTCTGGGCATCATCTTTAAGCCTCAAATTTCTCTTTGTCTTTATCCAGTGAACTGCCAGGAAAACAGCCCTTAGACCAGCGGTTCTCAACCTGTGGGTCGCAACCCCTTTGGCGATCGAACGACCCTTTCACAGGGGTCGCCTAAGACCATCCTGCATATCAGATATTTACATGACGATTCATCACAGTAGCAACATTACAGTTATGAAGTAGCCATGAAAATAATTTTATGGTTGGGTCACAACATGAGGAACTGTATTTAAAGGGCCAGAAGGTTGAGAACCACTGCCTTAGAGAAGGAAACAGCTTTTTTTTTTTTGGTTTGTTATTTTTGTTAATCCTCTGCTGAGGATATTTTTCCATTAATTTTTAGGAAGAGTGGAAGAGAGAGGGAAAGACAGAGAGAAACATTGATGTGAGAGAAACACATCGATTTGTTGCCTCCTGAACAAGTCCTGACTAGGGACCGGGCTGCGGAGGAGCCTGCAACTGAGGTATGTGCCCTTGACCGGAATCTAACCTGGGACCCTTTGGTCCGCAGGCTGACGCTCTATCCACTGAGCCAAACCAGCTAGGGCGTTAACAGCTCTTGAGAGAAGCTGCAATATTGGAGGTTGTTGAGCTGTTGCTAGGGCTTCGGTGAGAACCACAGCACTGAGTGAGGCCTGGTGGCTGCCCTTGGTGTGTGTGGCCTGGGAGGCCCACTCTGCACAGGACAGAGAGCTTGTGGCACCTGTCACTCACCCAACTGCTTGATGCCCTCCTTGTCCTCGATGAGCAGCTGGACCCTGGGGATGTCAATGTGTAGCCGCGGGCCCTGGGGGGGCCCCTTCACGGGGGTGTCAAAGCTTCGGTTGTTCTTGCTGTGGGGAGAAGGGCTACAGGTGGGTGACTCAGCAGCCATAAGGGGTTGGGGGAGGGTTTTTTGCAAAAACAGCGGGGATTGAAGCTTGTCCCCTGCAGTGGGGAAGAGAGAGGAGAGGAGAGAAGAAGCAACTATATAAAACCCACCTTATCAACATCTCTGCCAAACTCTTTGCATCTGCAAAACAGTAGAGAGAGGGGCTGGGTGAGAATGGACTTTGAGTAGGATGAGAACTGGAGAAGGCATGTGGGAGAGCTGAGACCAAGGCTGGTCTCTTAAGAAGGAGAGGGAGAACTGTAAGGACCTCTAGAACAGTCTAAAACATGTTTTCCTTCCCTCAGACTTTTATCTAATAGGAAGGTCCGTGCCAAAGGGGAGGGTATATAAAGAGCTCCATTTGGTTCCTGACTCTAATTAAACAAGGCACCAGAGCAGACTGGAAAATGGCATCAATGGTAGGTCTCTCCTTAGTTATCTGCTGGGGAGAGGAGAGAGTGGAGGATGCAGTAGAGGTGGTCAATGGGAAGCCCCAGATAACTATCAACCAAGAGGTGTCACGTCCTCCTCCAGGGCATCTATCCCCTAGAAAACCCATGGATGGATTTGAAGGGCCCTGCTTTGTTTCAGAGGGCCCTTGAGTAGGATTAGGACTCTCAGGGTAAAAATTGGTGAGCAAGTAGAAGCAAAGGTCCTGGTTAATCCATTAAACCCCCTGATAACAGAATGATCTGTCAGAGTGAATCTAGTTCCAGGCATGCATCCATCTACCACCCATTCACCCATTTATTATTGATCCAAACACCTGTCCATTCACCTGTCCAACTGGTCACAAACTCATCTATTCACCCATCCAACTATTCATCCATCATCCACCAATTCAACTACCCATCCATTCAACCATCAACCCATCCAACTATTTCTCCAACCATTTATTCAATTATGCATTTATTTATTTAACTATTCATCCAAACATCCATTCATTTAACTATTTAACCATCCCTTCATCTTATCATCCTTCTATCCATCCAAATATACATCTATACAATCAAGCATCCCTTCAACCATCAGTCTATCCAATCATCCATTCACCCATCCAACCACCTATCCATCCATCCATCCATCCATCCATCCATCCATCCATCCATCCATCCATCCACTCCTTCATCCATCTATCTATACAACCACCAATCCATTCAACCATTTATTCAATAAACCTTTTATTCAACCATACTTCCAACCATATTTCCATCTATACATCCTTCCCTCTAACCATCCAATCAATAATCTAACCTTCCATCCAACTATGTAACCACTCATCCAACCATCTATCCGTTCATCTGCTCACCCATCTGTCCAGCAGCCATCCAACCATCCTTCGAACCATTCATTCATCATTCACCCAACTCCTAAGCACCCGGGGCAGTGTCAGTCATTTCCTCTCTGTGCTGCTATTGTGCCCTGGCTTCTCACATTAAACCGTTAATTCTATAAGGGCATGTTGTTCCTTCTTCATTCATCTTTTGATCTCCAATGTCTGCCAATGCTCAATAAATGTTTTCCAAATGAGTGGTGAACATCTATTAAGCAGCTAGTAGGTGTCAGACACTGTACAAATCGAGGTAAATCAGACCCATTCATGCCACGCTGCACTATTGGATGTGGGGACAGGGGATGATATTCAAAATATTTGAAAATGGGTGTGCATGGAAACTGTCCAGTCAGGAATGAGAGAGGCCCTAAAGAACCCTGCAGGCATGCTCATTAGTGGCTGGGCCCTGGGAAAGTCACAGGGGTCCTGTGTGAGAGATCGGCACATCTAGGGTGAAAGGAGCAACATCTGTTTACCAATCAACAAGGACATTTTAAAATCTTTTAACAAGCAACACGGCTTTCCCAGTGTGAGCCTCTAAAAGTCAGCCCTGGTTAGGACAGGCACAAAGTCTTGAGGGCACAGAGAAGGGACCGGTCAACATGAGGAGGGTTGGAAGGTTGGAGTGCAGCTCCTTTCAAGTGCACACGGGCACTCTCTCTTGTCCAGGGAAAGCTGTGAGCCAGTGGAAGGTGGCCGGTGGGGCTGAGGGTCAGCGCTCCTGCCCAAGGGGCCGTAGGAAGGAAACCCCCCCACCTCGCAGCCGCTTCAGCCGTTTCTCCTTCCTCTTCTTCCGTATGATGAAGAGCAGAGCCAGCCCCAGCGTGGCCAGGATGACGGGGCAGCCGATGGTGAACAGCTTCCTCACGTCGTCCCCCTCGCCTTGAGCAGACTTGATTGGAGGGATGGTGCCTGGATGGGGGTGAGGAAGGGAGTCAGGTGTCCCGTATGAGTGGGGTGCTATGCAGATTCCCACGGGGGGGGGAGCCCTGGGACCGTTCTTGCTGCCCTCGTTCTTATGCTGACCTCCACTTCTTGGTGCAGAGCTCCTCCCCTCTGCTCCCCCAAATTCTGGGCCCACCAGGACAACCATGAACAGTGGGGTATTTCCACACTACATTCTGATATCAATGACTTCCTGAACCTGCTTCTCCTGTTGGAGTTCACCTTCATTCTTAAAGGGTGGATGGCTGGGCTCAGATTCCCATGCCAGCTGGGTAGGTGGGGTGGGTGGGTGAGATGGTGAGAATCTCAGTAGAGAGAAGTCAGGGCGGTGGGATCCTGGGTTCTCTTCTCCAGATGAAGACAAAAGCTACTACGTACACCGCCTTCCCTCCCTGCTCTGCCTCCCATGGACAGTGTCTGCTGGCCTTGGGCGCCTGCACGGAGCAGGAGGCAGTGACGTCTCCTGCTGACAGCCCTCGGCCGAGCCCTGTGCCTGTTTCAGAGCCTCCCTCAGAGTCCTCTCCTTCACGAGCCTTTCCTGCCTGAGCCATCCCCTCGCCGGGCAGACTTCGTCTAGCTGGTGACAATGTCCCTCTGAATGCAGCCTTCTGGACGCCTTTCATGTTTGCGTGTGTCTATGTGGGTGCACACGTGTGCATGTGTGTGCGTCATGTGCGAGGTGTCCTGTGTGGCAGACACCAGTTAGTGCTCACCGATACCCATGTGCTGTGTGCACGTCCCAGCGACAGCCATGCGCCTCGTCCCGGACCTCAGAGCATGACTAGGAGTCAGGGGTGTCACCTCCTGGCCCAGGCCCCTGAGAAGTGGGGACCCTTTTCCCTCTCTCTCTGGTTATCTTGGAGGTCACAGTTCAAGATGACAGAGCTAAAAGCTGGTGGCCAGCCAGCCCCCAGGAGACTGCATGAGCGCAAGAAACACATCTCCACTGGACTCAGCCTGGAGCCGTGCCCATGTCTCTGTTACTGCAGCGAGACCCTCCCCTCCTGCCTCATATCCTGAGTCAGCAGCGAGTCTCAGAGGGCAGGGCCTCAGCCATATCTCCCTCCCCGTCTCTGAAGCAATGGCCGGCAAGGCTCCCACCTCCAGAGCCCTAGTGTCAGACCTGTTTGTCTACCTGTCTCTAGTGCACCGCCTGCCTGCCAGTCTGCTGCTGCCTTTGCCTGTACCCACCTGTCAGCCTTTCTCCTGATGATAGTCCTGCTGATTTTTCTCTTTGTTAGTCTCTCTCTCTACCAGCTACCCTGGCAGCCCCTGGCGCCAGCATCTGTGTCAATCGCCCCCACATCCCGACTCACTGCCATCGTAGTCCAGGGTGGCGAACTGGGCTGTCTCGTTGCCGCAGCCAGCGCTGTTGCACGCCCTCATGCGGAGCTCGTACCACGTGGCCTCTCGTAGTTCGGTCAGAAATACCTCCCCAGAGGTGTTGGCCCGGAGGCCCTGCCAGGCCCAGGTGCCCTTGGGCCGGAACTCCAGCGCGATGGCCGTGATGGGGCAGCCCCCGTTGCTCCAGCCCTGCAGGTTCAGCCGCGCGTGCGTGGAGTTGATGTGGGTGAAGAGATGCTGGTCTTTGCTGAAGGAGGGCTCTGGGGGCCAGAGGAGTGAGGGGTCAGAGAGACTGGGAGGGGAGGGAGTCATGCATCTGGGCTGGCCCAGGTCCCCGGGGACTGCAGCAGCTCCAGGGGGCAGTGGTTGGCAGAGGTGGCAGTGAGATGCCCAGGGAAGAGGAGGGGAGAGGCGGGAAGGACTGGAGAGAAGGCCTCGGCGAAGGAGGGAGATGCAGGCAGAAGGAGAGAGGCACAAGCACCTGCCACCCCAGAGGGAAGGGGGACCATGTTTCCTACTGGGATTCGTTCAGATGCCGAGCTGAGGGGAGCTGGGCGGCATCTCCCTGTAGCCTCCCGCCTCCCTGCGCCCTCCTGCCCGCCATGTCACCAGGCCTCACCCCGCCCGTGGGTCTTGGCCTCGATGATCTCGCTGATGCGCCCGGAGCCCACGCTGTTCTTGGCCGCCAGCTTCACCTTGTACCACGTGCCGCACCGGAGACTGTCCAGCTTGAAGGCCCTCTCGCTTGAGCTGATGAACACGTCCTTCCACTCCTCGCTGTTGTCCACTGAGTACTGCAGCACGAAGCCTGGGGGAGGTTCCCTGGCTCAGGGCGAGGTACTGGCCAGGGAACTGGCCTTGTGGG